GAGATGCCGTCTTTCCCCGGCACCTTGATTCTCGGCATCGCATGACGCACTTGTGATTACAGTAAAGGCAGCGTTTCCTCCAGACCTGATCTTTTTTTACTCGCAACTGGGAGGTCCGATCTGAACAGAGCGGAGTAGAACGTTGTCAAGATTTCTTCCATTCCAGTTGTGGAGCAGCATCGAGTTCCATTCGCAGTTTTTAAGCATGGAATCCTAAGACGGTGCTGGGCTATCTTTCTTCTCGCTTTCCTCAAACTCAGCCTGTTCTCTGCTTCATATAGAAGTTTCGATCTTGCAAAATTGGCGTGCTCTTCAGCAGTTCGTTGCCTACACAACCTACTTAGCAAGGTGTACTCCACGTGGTTTTCCTGTCGATCCATGTTTCTTCGCTTTTCGAGAGTGCACGAGTGGAAGCAGAGATGCGACGAGAACTGTGGGTGGGTGTAGCACTGCGACAGCTGCTTGCGATTGCGGTTACGGTTTGCACGAGGTTCTCGTAGTCAGCCTCGATGCCATCCATCACATCAAACAACTCTTCATTTGCAAGCCTCGTGACCGCATCTTTGTCCAGCATAGTGGGGCACGGCTGCCTTGAGCGTACGCGCGTCAGACGCATCAAGCCGCAACCGAGGTGGAAACGCCCTCGCAGTGAATGATGATCGCCCTCCGTGTTGAAAGAAGGAACAACCGCAACATCCGTCATGATTTTCCGATTGCGGAAGACGTGGTCGATTTCGTGACAGTGTTGTCCATTCGGCGAGATATGAGTCCATCTTTTTCGTGGTGCCTTGAGGAACTGACCATTGCCATGGTGGAGATGATGCAGTTCACAAAAACTTGCTAATCTCTTCCCAGGCTCGTTGCGCTCTTCTGTCGAATGTGGCCCGATGAAGACCTCGCCTTCGGGCCGCATTCGGCCTTCGTGATCCAATCCGGGCGTTGAAGTCTCCCATCACAACGACGTAACCACGTTGCCTACGCACGATTTGGAGAAGTTCGGAGACACAAGGAAACCAACACCTTCTGACGTTGAAGTCTTTTTTCGGACTCTTAAGAACACTGAAGTTCCGTCGGTCCAGGTGCATAAGAGAGGTTCTTTCCGCTTCGTCT